TTTCACAGTGTTGTGGAGTTTTATAAGTGAATGTTGTTTGAATAGCAGAAACACACATCTAAATAAAAAGCAGATATAGAGGCATACACACAGTGTTCTATATACTCAACATATGCCCCTTTAGATTCCCCAGGTCCCACCTTAACTTAATAGCAGTGACATTTACACTCATGCTCTCTGGAGTCATTTACACAGCTGGTTTACTGTTCCATGCAGTATAGACTGACTTAATAGCACTCAAAAATAAGGTGGCACCAGTGCTACTTAGCACTGTGTACTAGTAAGACTACACTACCCAATAAAACACAGACTCCTTTTTCATGGACTGTATGCTGACCTCTTCATAACCTTCTTAAATAAGCTCACACCTCCCTACTGACAATGAACTGCTCCATGCAGGAGTATATTAGTGGTCAGGTCCAGCCTGAAAGTAGGGAGGGCATCTGGCCAAGACAATAAAATATATGTGCAGAAAATATATCCCAGGGCCCTGTGAAACTTGGGCAATTAAAATGGAAATGTAGCATGCGTATTTAGAGCCAAGGAGGGAGTCTGTGCTACTGAGGTGCAGAGAGAGAGAGAGAGAGAGAGAGTTGACAAGAGGCAGTGGCAGCGCACAACATGATTTAGATGCTGTGAGTGAGATCGCAGACCTATAATCCAGAAGGGACAGAGACAAGGGGCAAACTCAGCAGGCAAAAAAGTAAAGTACAAGGGAGCGAGAGCGATAGAGAGACACCCAACGGCACACAGAGAGACAAAAAGCCAGAGAGACTGAAAAATAGAGAGCGAGCAGCCAGACACGCAGGCAGACTGTCCGTCTCTGGTTTGTGGGAATGTGGTGAAGACACAGTAGTAGCAGGCAGGGTCCCGGCTCTGAAATTAGAGAGTGGCGCTAAGGGAAGGGAGCCAGAGCCGAAGGCCGTCTGGGAGCTGCCAGCGGCTGCATCCCCGGCACGCTGCCGAAACGGGATTTACTGCTGGACTGCACTACGAGCAGCGCGCCGCTACCAGTGCGCTATCTCACTCGGAAGCAGCGCACCGCTCGGTGACTTCACGGCACTGTAAAGTCACCGGATCAACAGTGCGAGGCGCTGACGTGAGAAGGCCCGGTTCGGCTCGGTGAGGCACACCGAGTCAAAGGAAAGGCTGCTGGATCAGGAAGGAAAAATACCACAAAAACAGTGTAGTGCACATTACAGCATGGAATACAATAATGGATGTTTGGGGGTTATCAGACACTTCAACGCTGCTGAAGGTTTTGTGGTCATTCCCTTGCAAGGCAAACAGTAGAATCACCTTGAATTCTGATGCAACAATAAAGTCCATGCATTCTGTCTGTGAACTGCGTGATCAAAACACGGAACGCCTTGCAGCTCCAGGGACTTTGACCTCCAACCTCCCTGTGGTGGTTTTGGGTGGGCGGCGGCGTTGAAAAGAAAGTGTCCATTTAAAATGCAACACAAGTATATTTGCACAGTTCCACATCTTTTATCCATTCCACATTCAGCGGCAGTGCAAAGAAGCCAGGAAGTATTCAGAGAACTAGATTTAATCAGGAGAGAAAAACCGGGGGGAACCAGGTTGTTGTGTGCTGTAGCAATTGTGGGCCAAGTCCAGACCTGCAGGGAGATTCTGTATGTGCTAGTCTGCAGCACGGGGCAGTAGGAGTTTGGCTGCTGCAGTGAACCTGTGTTTTCCAGGATTTGTGTGTGTGTGTGTGTGTGTGTGTGTGTGTGTGTGTGTGTGTGTGCATGCGTTTCCTTTGCCAAGTTTCCTCTCTTTGTTTAGACCGACTCGGTCAGTCTGGCTCCCCGCTGAGCACGCTGCGGCCAAATACACACATATATCAAAACACAGCACAACAACAGACAGAGTGCTCTCGGGGCAGAGGGGTGCTGGGAAAAGGGGCAAAGGGGGACAAAAAGACAGAGAGGTGTCCCCGCTGGAAAACAGAGAAGTAGAAAGACGGACACCGTTGGACGAGCGGAGGTGGCAGACTCTTTCTCACCCTTTTCTAACAGAGGGTGTGGGGGGGGGGGGGGGGGCGCCAGCAGGTCACTGCGACCATCACTCTTATGACGGAGGCCCAGCGCGTAGAAGCGTACAGGAACGCGGAGGACACCAACGGCCCGAAGGCGGGACGCGCTGCTCCTCACGCGCTCCCCTCCAAACGGCTGCCGACACGCCTGGACGGACAACAGTCTAAAATATATACATATGTATGTATGAGCGCGTGTGTGTTTACCATGGTCCTCATCTCTAAAGCCCTAAATTGGGTCTGAACACACACACACACGCACACACAAACTCTCTTGCCCCCCTCAAAGCCGTCCTTTTAGACGAGGGGCCCTAAATGCCTTACAGATGGACTCCTAACAAACACAACACTCTGTCCGGGGCCTCAAGTATTTCCAGTATTTGGCCTTGCTGTAATTTACAGCATACTTACCTAATTGAGATGCTATTACGGTCAGGGCTCGCATTCTTCTGCGCACGCCTTCTGCTAATCCACACGATAGAAGCGTGACATACATGGCACAGTAAATTTGCCCTAATATATTGGCGTGAAGGCAACCGCAGAGCGAGTGTGATGTATGGTCCACGTAGTGTACTTTGAGCTACACAAATAATGATGTGTTGAGGCGAGACGTGTCTGTGCAGGTCTGCAGTGCACATTTCAGGGTATTTTCCTGACTAGCTGACGGGTTTTACACACAGCGAAGTGCAACTAAACTCACAAGTGACGACTGAGTCATAAAGGACTGATCATTGAATGTGAAAACTAACTGAGTAAGTTCACACTTGTTAGTGAACGATGTAGTTTGTTTTTCACACTTACGTATTTTACGTATTAGATTCCTTTTTGAAAGAGAGCCATATATAATGAAATTATTTAAAAGAAATAATAATAATGTGTGGATTAGTACACACATTATTAGTGTTTAATAATAGTTTTCCAACCTTTCGAAAACACTCATTGCTTCCCAAAAATTGTCGCTATTGTTAAATCTGTGAAGAAAACCAGGTCAGATTTGAAAAAAGCTTGTTTTTACAGATATTTACAGGATATGTAAAGTATCCTGGTTTACTTTTCTACCCTTTCTCGCCATTGCTACAAAGAAAAAAGAAAGGAAAAGAAAGTTGAAATAGCGAGAAGTTCTTCGTCCTGAAGCAGTAAAAAGGAGGCGCGGCCGCTCGGAGCTCGTCCTTTGGGTGTTTGTCATCGGGTGACTCTGACAGAGAGATAACGCCCTGTCACGGACCGCCATCAATCTTCCTCTCCAAGTAGCTCCACGACAATTCAAGACACATCGGTGATTAATCCACTCTGCGAGTGTGTGTGTGTGTGTGTGTGTGTGCGTGGACCTCTATGTGTCGTTGTGCGATGAATCACTGTCTCACCCTGTACAGGACACACAATGCCTGAGAGCCCTCAGCTCAAAGAAGATCAATTCATCTACAAGTGCTGTGCTGACAATAGCTTGACACGTAAATGATTCCATGTTACGCTCTCAGCTGCAGCACGACGCGCGTTATGAAACGCACGCTGTGGCACGGGGCCAACAAACGTTTTCGGCGGCGGGGGGATTTTGTTGAAAGCGAACGCGAGCTGACCATTCATAACAAACCCATGGTGTCATGATGTCCCTCCCCCAAACATTGACTTGGCTTGAGCGCCATGTTTGGACGGACAAACACAAGTTTAATGTTGCAGAGGGTAGATGCCAGACCGCGCAATACACACAAAAAAGATTTACAACCAAGGTCGTTTCAGTCGGGCTGCAACTACGTGTGTAGTTATAAAATCCCAACATTCCAGAAACATGAAGCTGTCATGCTAGTGAAGGCACCAAGTCACCCGGGTCGGAGGCTTCATCCACCTGCCGCTCGAGTGAGGAGGCCCCTCTTTCCCATTTAACAGGTGTGTGTACTTGCCCATTAAAATCCCCAAAACACCAAAATCACACGACCAGAAACGAGAAAGGGGAAGGGGGGGGGGCGGATGTTGAGACAGAAAACAGTCATTACGAAGGATGGGCGGTTCCGGCTGTGGCGAGTGGCTGTTGACACGCTTGTTTCGCTCAGAGGGGAGGGCTTGTTGCAGCAACACACGCCAATGCAGTCCTCATAAGGGCGACAGCGATTGGTTCCGCATTGTTTCAGACTTGTTGGCTATGGAGGCAGCGGCGGGAGACGAGCACTTCGTGTTTCCAACCAGCAGATTACCATCACGACGTGAAGTCCTGAGCAAATGGGCCGTAGCTCAATCCCTGAGGGAGGTCTTCACAAACGCATGCAAACAACGGCGGTGTTGATGAGCGCGCAGAAATGGGGACGGTCAACGGGCAGAGTGGGGGAAATCCTGAGCTGGCTGACCTGAATGGAAAATTTGTGGCCATAGAATTCATTGTTCTATTGTGCGCTTTCATTTAGCGTAAGAAGTGAGAACAGTTTGAGGAAAAACCTGGCAGGAAAAACGCGACGCATTTCAGAGCTCTTCCAAAGGCTGAAGAGCAGACAACAGCTGTAGCTACACCTCGGGATTTACAGATGTTCACTCAGGTTCAACCATCAGGCGCACAATGTCCCCGTTGTCTCTGAGAGAGAGGACACGCCTGGTTACACCCGTCATAACACAGCAGTTATCTATTGGCTGTGCCTCACTATTATAAGGCTTCAGCCACCTTCACACAACTATTCACATGGAAACATCAACAAATTCAAGAAGTCTCAGAAATGGAAAACAGTCACTCCCCTCAGCGTGGGATTCGGGATAAGCGTTTTTAAAAAAGTGAGAAGAGCTCAGCAGCAACTAGATGCTGATAAGCTGCAGAGAGAATGCAGGTGTTTCGAGCCGAGCCAAAACATGGTCCCATCAGAAGATACCACACACATTCATCTGATAGCAGAGCCTCAGGCCCCCAGTTAAGAATTCACACATTCATACCTCTGCTTATCGCTAACAGACACACACTGATCACCACGAGTGGGATTACCTTTTCTTCCAGCCGGATCAGCCGCGCTCCAATAGTCGGGAATTCTTTATCTTCTCCTTTTCCTGGTGAACGTACATTTGGTCAAACTTTAGTTCAGTTACTCCGTGCTCGGCCACACACGAGCTACAAACACAACATTGTCCTTTACAGTAGCAGCCCTGAAGGCTCGTGGTTCTAAAGAAAGCATTCATTCATTCATTCATTTTCTGGTGCTTTTGTGGCTACGGGTCACTGAGGCACTTTACAGCCCCCCATTGACATGTGGACGCTTAATGCGTCTCGTAAAGAGTTATGAAGCCTTAAAAAATGACTTAACTCCATTATTCAGATCAGACTGTGGGTAAATGGTCATTTGATTATATTCATTTGTGAGTCTGTAAATATCAAATACGCATTATTATTTTATTCCTCGACTAAATAGAAACATTCAACCACATAATACAAAATACGTTTTCATTAATCTGTAAGTAAAGTTAATAATTACATAGTTATATAAACTCCTAATTAATTAATTCATTTCAGTAAAATATCCTTTACTAATGTACAATGCAATTTGTTTCACTTTGGACCAACTTACCTGTAGACACATATTCAGACATTCACTCTGCTTGTGTACAAACACAGTGATGGTGTGACGAGTGACAGCCGTCTATCAGATGCACACTGTGGTGTTTTCTGTGTATTTACCTGGAAGAAACATTCCCGGCTTCCCCAGCGTGCCGTCGAGCCTGAAGTAAGACACAGCAGTAAGTGGGAAGGTGAAGGCACTGGACAGATACACACAGCTCCGCCATCAAGGTCATGAAACAGTCAAATTGTCATAAAGTGATTTATGGAGGCAAACGGTATTTACTGCTTACCCACATGCGAGTTTTAAAGGGATGAATAAATGTTCTAATTGAGCTTTCAGGCAAAATAAAATAAACAATGGGAGGCGGAAGAGGTTTCTATTGCACATGTGGACTGTTCTCTATAAAAGTACTGAAGCAGCGCAGGATGCACTGCAAAGCTTTCTCTTCTTTTAAGCGCCTCCAACAAACGGTAGATTTTTATCACAGCAATCACGCCGTTAGCCGGCTTCCCTTCATGTTGGTGACCCCGTTTTATGCCAAGGGTTCAATGCATTGTTGTGGTGTCGTGGCGAGTGCTCTGATCTTTTTCTTTGGATTTTGAGTCGATTTTTGACAGAAAAAAAACCAATTACCATCATCAGCAGCTCAGAATATGTTGAAAGACATTGGAAAATTGTGTTTATGAAAGACTTATAAAAAACAAAAGTTTGTCCCAATTTATTCTCCATGCGTGAATCCAAATCACATAAAGATGCAGAGGAACTTTCCCTTAAAGGTGAAAGAAATCAGACAGCGGGGAGGTTCTCTCCCATCAAACAGGAGATCGATCTATAATGGAGTCGTCTCACTGTTGTTTTCCGCGGCCTCCTCAGCTGACCGTGTTGTCAGTGGAGCTTATAAGTGCAGAACTAATACAGCGAATACGGTACAATGTGATACTTCACACCAAACGTGCGGAATGGAAAAAAATTGTTCATGCCAAACCGAACATGTATTCTAAAACGGTGGTTTTAGAATACATGAAACTAACAGAAGTTTCTGACTCCTCCCTTCTTTTGAGAAGAAAAGGGGAGGACTCAGTGATTTTCTTTTGTTTATATTTGGCCCATAATAGAAAAGAGCTACAGATTTGCATAACAAGCATTGGCTCTCACACGATATATTAAAAGGCTATGGCCAATTTAAAAAAAGGACTCCTGTCCTGTTGGATATTCTTTCCTAGGTTTGTGTGCTTTTGACTTTGCTTCCTTTCTGTATTTATTTTGAGGAATGTTTCTGAGGCCACGGCACATTTCTCCAAATGACATTGGGCGGGTGTGTCCCCTTGTTCGCCATGTAGGCGGCCAACATGAAGATAGCGAGAATGTAAAAAGGTTTAAACCAATAGAAACAAAGGAAAGCGTGGAACAAGGGTCAAGGAAAGCACCTCCTCTGCAGCTCCTTGATGCGGACCATCATGTTGAGGTGACCCTGGGAATATTGCTCGATTACGTCTCGCACATCGTAGGGCTTCCGCGCTTGCTGTGAATCACAGACACACACACACACACACACAAACAAAAGCCATTGTCTACCAGTGCCGCTGTAGCACGGCCCCCGAAAACATCCCCAACCCCCTTGGGTGCAAACGGTTCATTGTTAACTTATTGTGTGTGCATGTGGGTGTGTCTCTATGTGTGTGCGTGCACTGACCAGTGCATGGTCATGTAGAAAGCAATCGTGTTGAGGTCCTTTCACAGCTTTGTTTAGTGTGACGTAGATACAAGGAGCATCAGAAAGAACCCGGTGAACTCTTTAGGGTATCCTGGGTATACGCACAGCATAGCTCTGCAGCTGAGATCACTTAGGCCATAATTGAAAACACATAGAGCACTTGGAAACGGTTAGAAAATAGGAACCATTCGACACTAACATGTAGCATGAAAATAATAGCCAAGGTATCTCAAACATGATTAGTGTTTTCTTTTTTTGCTAAAATAATTCCCTGTATAAAGTGTTTGAACCTAATTCTGCTGCCTCTAGTGCTGCATGAGGCCGTAATCTGCTCCGTGTGTGTGTTTCTGAAAGTGTGTGTCCTGGTGAGTGCGGTACAGTACTTTGGCCCCAGAGTCGAGGCAGCAGGCTTCCCTTGATGCTACGCCTGAGCTGACGTGCGCGCAGAGACGACGTGCAGGTGCAAGTTTCAGGCATTTACACACAAACACGCGTAGACACTCAGCGCTGCAGCTGACATGTGCCCCTCGGGCCCTCCCTCCCCCCTCATCCTGTACAAGCACCAAAATGTGTCTCTCTCTTTGTCTCTGCATCTCCCGCTCAAAGATACTTTTGATTACCTGGAATTTCTTCCTGGCCACAAAGTACTGCATTCTGCGGAGGACTTTCACAGCCGACCTCTGCTCATGGGACAACCTGGGACAGAAAGGGACACTGATTTAGTCCAAAGGTAAAACAGCGTCTATGGTCAACAGATGTAAAAAGCAGCTTGAGTTTTAAATTCGTTTAAAGAAAAGCTGCAACACAACAAACTCTGGCTTCATTCAAGAATCAATGGACCGTGTGTGTACAATGCAACAGCAAAACATGTGGCCCTGACAGACACACACGCCCACAAAAAACACAGGGTAAACATATAACATCATACAACTATAATGTGTCAACATAGACAAACTGCTGCTTGTGTTATCGCTCACAATTCTGCAACATGAAGCAAAAGGAAACAGAAGGAAATCAGACGCAGTTTGCAGCACATCTGTGACAACACGAGTGAAAACCCACTGGCATGGAGCGAAACACTGAAACAGAAACCGCTGGAGGCAAACAACACACACAAACTCCTACTTGCATACCGTAGTGACTGTATTGCGCGCACTAGTGTTTGTTTTTTCAGGCAGGCTCTCTGAGTGCTGCACGCTGGTGTCCATGTGCTACATATGTTTGTCAGAAAAAACACGTCTGTGCATATTTGACGGCGGTGTGTTTGGACACTTTGAGTGAAAATAGATAAGGAGAAAACAGGACTGAAAATGTGTTGAGCGACTGGACTTTAGTGGTGCGAGTGATCGAAAACACACAAATACAGATGAACACAAATGGTCACATGAATGTGAGGCATAATGTATCTGTTGTTATCCGTTGTGTAGCATCGCTTGTGTTGTTGTATTGCATTTACAAGGGAGTAAGCTCCGAGGATATTATACGTTCATGACACTAGTCTTTATCTTACAGTAAATGTTTTATATAATCCAAGGGTTAATATAGCAGCAAACAACTTCCTGCTAAATGCATATTCAGTGAGTAATCTATCTGGACATTTCCCCACTATGCGTGATGTAATCCCTGCTTCTTTATTTAAATAGCCAGGTGGCTGCTGCTACATTTCAGTGCGTCTGACTGATGAGACCTACTTGTTAGCTAGTGGCTACTGCTCTGCACGGCGCTCATGCAGCGGCTACTGGGGGAAACAATATGGTATCTGAGACCCAGAGGGTGAATATGAAAAACAATATCAAACAATGGCCACGTGTACACACTTATGTGGAGCCTGTGGAGCTCATCGAGTGGCATCAACCAGGGTGCACTGGATGTGTGTTTGTGTTTGCAGTTACTCCGAGCGTGACTGCTGCTAGAGATAACTTCTTACCACTAATACAAAACGGAAAAGGAATGGCTCCATTCTTACGGAGGAAGACTTTGCTTTTTATCTTCAACTATGTCGCAATTAAAGATGACAAACCCGCACACACACACACACACACACACACACACACACACACACACCCCCTCCCCCTCTTTGTGGAGTCAACAAGTTGCTCTGAGGTCTTAATTAGGCAGAGGCATAACAAAGGGCCTTGGCAGACAATGCGTACATGGGACCATAAAACAGGAGCATCAAAGGCCGTCGGGCTGCTGTCTCTGTTCCTGCCCTCCAACGCACACCAACAACTCCACACATAAAGAGCGTGGGGCCCTATACCCCCCCCCACCTCCTTGCTCTCTACCGTCGATCAGGATAAGGATGTGTCGGGGGGGGGGGGTAGAGGGGAAGGGGGGGGTCTCTTTTCTGTGTCCCAGCATAATTGGAAAAGAAAACACGTGTAGGAAACAAAAAACATGTGCGGGTTTGATGGTTGTACAACTGTACCCCGCTCGCTCCTCGCCCTCCTCCCGTTTCCTGCGCGCACACATGTTCGCTCCGATAAAAAAAAGAACACAGAGGGTTCCTGTCCGACACCAACACCGAACCCCCCCCCCCTCTACCCCATTCACCATTTGGCACAAAGAAACCGGAGGAATGTGATTTCTGCTCTCTCTGCCCTTCCAAAGCGCTTGCTGGCCCTGCCTCCCACTCTCTCTCTTTTCTCCGACGCACAGTGTGTCCCGGGGACTCCTCTCGAGTGCGAGGAGCTCAGGTCTCGCCCACGACGTCTTCCACACATTTCCCTTTGTCCTGCGCCCTGTGATTCATTCTGTGTTGGGACGGCCGGCTCCCTGCTGACTCTTCCCAACAGACTGGCTATTCTTCATTAGGTCAACTGTAGAAGTCATGTAAAAGCTGTAGCTGCTGGAGTCGTGAACCGGCCTTGTCCCTTTCTTGAAAGGATGTGACAGATTTAGCCCCTGGCCTCCCCTGGGCCCTTCTCTCTTAATAAGTTTTCTCTCTTTTCATTTTCCGATGGTCACTTCGGAGATCTCCGAGTTGTCAACGGCAACTCTCCCGCATCCCTAACCCCCCTCGGCTCTTTATTTGGCAGGGGACCGTCAAATATCCTGTGCTTCCATGGTGTGCTGCAATAACCTTGGAGTCAGTGTTAAACATCAATGTGCTATGGTCTGGGCCCAGCAAGACTGCTCGTCTGTGTGTGTGTGTGTGTGTGTGAGAGAGATAAGCTTTATGACTGGTGCTTTGGTCCATCAAAGAGATGTGCTCTTCTGTTCTCCTCAAAAACAGACATCCCTTTATCATATCTTGGGAGGATAAGATGACTACATTCTTGCAGGAATGATTGAACTCAAAGTGATGGCCTGCCAGAGGGTGGCGTGGTGAGAACTACCACATCATCACAGTCAAGTTCCTTCTTTCTCGGTGGCTTTTAAACGAATGGGCTTCTTAGCAGTTAGAACTTCTCCCATGTGGAGGAAAGTGTCTCGTGGGAAGTTAAAGCGGCTCTCAGAGCGGTTTGCCACCGAAACTTTACGTTCAGGTTGTTGTCAATGTGTAAACGGTGTCTATTTCCAAAAGTGCACATCGGTGTTTATATCTCCACAGAATAACTCAATTCTTTAATTATTTGTTAGATATATTCATGATTCTTTTGATTAGCATAGTTAGTTTGAGCAAAGCCAATAAACGGCCCCAGTTAACTGGGACAAGAGGGATTTCTGCCATTCTCTTTCCCTCGTTTCTTTTCTCTGCTCTTCTCTTACTGTTTGTTTCTTTGTATTCGACACACGACTGCCAGTGAAATGATACAAGCCTGTTTGCGCCGGTTGTTTTTGTGCCGCCCCCTCCGGGTCAAGACGTGCCGGAGAGACAGAGAAGCAACGGTGCCACATCAAAGCTCGGTGCCCATTAGGAGCTGATGACAAAGAGGGAACCCGGACAGACGGACGTATCCTGTGCCAATACTGTGTACCTGCAGCCACGGAGAACATAGTCAAAAAACACACAAAAAAAGATGATTCTGAATCCGTTTAGTCTCTTTTGAAAGACATTTTCTTAGAATTTTGTCAACTTTTTTTTACCATTTCATACATTATCCAAAGAAGCCTTGAAAGGGATTCTCAAAATGTAAATGTGAATGAAAGTCTTAAAGAATCGCGCCTATGAAATGGTCAACATGGCGGTGACCTCAGAAAAAGTCCCGCCCCCCGTTTAGTGTCTCATTAGCTGTAATTATGAGACCTAAACAGAGAACAAATAGTCTAATGACGATGGTGAACCCTTTGTGTGTCGACTGTTACTCCCACATTAACAAAAGGTTTGGACCAGGACGTTTCCAGTTAGACACCACGAGAAAATACCACTGTGATGTGTAAAATAGGGAATTTTAAACAAATCATTTGGGGTGACATTGCCTCCTGATACATGATCCCAGTAATTCAGGATGTGAGGGTTTGTCTCGGCTTTAAGGTGCAGCTTTAAGAGGAGGACGTGGCTTAGAGAGTTGAAGACTCGGGGTTAGTGACCCTCTTTGGTGTTTCGCGTACGGTGTGTGAGTGGGTGTATCCGAGTCAGGCTTTTCTTTTCCCCCTAAATAGGTTAAGTGGTGTCTAACCAGGGGCTCTTTGACTGACATGTGTCAAAGTTTTAGTCTTTTTCTAACAACTTGCCTTTTTGGCCGGGCAATCATTCTTTGTTAAATATACGTAGAATTGAATTCATGCATTTTTTTCAGTTTTTTTAATTCAGATTCGGATGAGCGTGTGGCTTCTTGAAATCTGTATTAAAGATAAGCTTGCACCCAGCACCCTGCTGCACCGGCATGTGGCATGGATGGAAGCAACATTCTTCCCATCAGTGTGTTTGCATGCGCGTGCCTGCTAAGAAGACAGGAGGGCGATTGGGTTCCTCCAGTGGGGGACGAGGGGGTGAGGGAGGATTTATAATTCATGGCCTAATAGGATTTGTTGCTGTTTAGCAGGATTAGGCATGTTTGAGAAAAAAAAAAAATCTATTTATTGCTTCCAGTCAGGGGGTCCCCTCGCCTGGGTGGGGAGGTCTTTGGAGCTTGGTAGCGGTGCGGTGAGGTCAGTGTGGACCCAGGCAATCCCTCCCTCCCTCCCGCCCTGCTTCTCATTTTCTGGGATAACCCCTTGCACTGAGGCCCCCCTGAGCATCTAAGCCCCCCCTCCTCTCCACTCTCAGTCCGGCAACAACCAGCATTTTTGGATTCAATGGGCTGTTTCTCTTTCTAGAGGCTCTTATAATCCAATCACATGAGCCCAGTGGTTGGTCATGCCAACACACACGGCTGTGCGTGTGCGTTTTCTGTGTGCCGGTCCAGGGGCAATTAGCACCATCGCCATCTTGGGGGGGTGCAGGGGCATGCCGGAGGTGGCGGTAAGAGACTTAAACCTGACTGTCGACAGAGGAAGGGGAGAGAGGAAGAAGAGAAGGGGGAGATGGAGGGTGACCCGTGGGCCTTCTGAGCCGAGGGGCTTCCCTTTCATAAGCCAATGGGTTTGGATTATAAAACAGTGCTCCTTTTCATTCATGTGTGTTCGGGGAACTGTGGGGGGCCTGGCTGACATTAAAGAATGGTGCTTAATTAGTCCTTTCTACAGTGGTCAGCGCTTTTGTTCCTACTTTCAGTGGTGGGAGGCCTCCCTACTGGCCAATGGCCATTGTGGTGCTTTTTTGTATATATATAAAAAGTACTGAGCGGTCCTTTCCTCTGTGAAGAAAGAGA